ATATATATATATATATATATATATATATCGTATGGTTTCCTGAAACTCAGGCCCTGCACACATGGAGGAAATATTAGGAATAAAAATAAATATTCAGATTTAAATATCAGAAACCTATCAGAAACCTATATTCCTATATTATATTATGTAAAGGGCTCCGTAATAAAAGGAATAGGGAACAGAGAACAGAGAATAAGAATTTCAACCTATCAGAAATTATGTATTGTGGAATACACAGTTTCTGATAGGTTGAAATTCTTATTCTCTGTTCTCTATTTCCTATTCCTTTTATTGTGCGGAGCCTCTAACTTATGTATATTCTGGTATCTGATAGATTGAAATTTTTCCCTCAAAGACTCGCTAAATTTAAAAGAGAAAGAAGAAAAGGAGATATATTCAATGGAAAGTAATTGAAAATTTTTTAATTTATGCCTGACTACTATTGACTACAAAATTTAAATTAATCTGAAAATAAGAAAAGTTCCAGGATGATTATGAAAATCCTATATATTAGGTGTAGTAAAAAGAAATCCATTATTTTTCCATTCAATTTCATGCAAAAATAATGGATTTCTTTTTAGTACACCTAATATTCCAGTTTTCTGATTAATACATATACATATATGTATATATATATATATACATGTACATATACAGGTACCTATACATTAGTCTATTAATATAATTATTAATTTTTTATTTGAATGAACTCTATTTATTACGTTCTTGCAGGTTGAATTAATCATTGATCTTAGAAGATACCTTGGAAATATGCATCTATGTATCTGGTTTGTATCTGAATGATCCTCTATACAAGTATGGAGATTTAGATTTAATTAAGTTCAAATAAAGAATATGATATGAATTCTAGATTTTTGTAGCAGAATTTATTGTATTTTTTATCCTTCTCCCCTCTCTTTTTCTTCAGTTTCTGTAATAATTATATACTTGTTTTAATATAAGTATAGAGAGATAACAGCTATAAAAAAAAGTACTTCTATAGTTATGACGTGACGAAGATGGGGATACCACACATAGAAAAATATCATCCTATTGCTAAAAAAAATGATTACTCACTAATTTATTTTTTTCTTTTCAGTACAGTTAACTTAAAATACAATTTAAAGAATATTTTCTTGGTAATAGGTTTAAAATATATTTGATACAAATTTCAAAAAAACTCATCATATACTAAAAACAAGAATTTGTCTTCTTTTGAAGAATATTGTAAAATTTTAGAAGAAACTTGACTAAGCAAATCAAACTTGTTTTAATTTAATAATTTTGAACTTGTTAGGATTCAGCATATAAATATTTTGAATAAACTTAATGTTTGTGACGCTTACAATAAATTTACGAATACATATATCTAACTTTTGTGTGAAACGATTAAATGATGAATATTTAAATATAATATGTATTTAATTCCTGTGTACAGGATCTTATTCTATTCCACACTGCTGGCCTGCGATTCTTGCAACTGGCAAATCAACATGTGACAATTCATATATTGTCACAGTAGCCTAATAAGTAAGTAATCCATCAGTTTGCACATAATGTATAGTTATTTCGGCTTGAAAAATTCTTGAAAATTTTTTACAAAATCGTATGTAATCCTGATTACTTAAATATTTTATACTTTAAATATCGGATATTGGGCGATATTTAGATATATAGATATATACGATATATAAACTTTCTTTCTTCTAGATAAGGAGCTCAGATTTCTTTGTCCTATCAGATCAGGAAAAAGTTATCT